AATATCAGATAAGAATCAGGAGAGGAGTTTTTGCTTTGTTTGCAGAAGCAGAGAGCATCATGGGAAACTTTTCTTTATGATCAGATCTTGATGAATCGTTTTTTTACCGTAAAACATTTCGTAAACTGTCTCTGAAAACCAAACATGCTGTTTCTATAACCCCTATCAGATATCAAAGTGCATGTAAACTAGGTCAGTGAACTGCCCGAAGGACTCTTTAAAGTAGAGACACTACATACTGATATACACCTGAACATCAGCAGGAGAGGACTCTTTAAAGTAGAGACACTACATACTGATATACACCTGAACATCAGCAGGAGAGGACTCTTTAAAGTAGAGACACTACATACTGATATACACCTGAACATCAGCAGGAGAGGGACTCTTTAAAGTAGAGACACTACATACTGATATACACCAGAACATCAGCAGGAGAGGACTCTTTAAAGTAGAGACACTACATACTGATATACACCTGAACATCAGCAGGAGAGGACTCTTTAAAGTAGAGACACTGCATACTGATATACACCTGAACATCAGCAGGAGAGGACTCTTTAAAGTAGAGACACTACATACTGATATACACCTGAACATCAGCAGGAGAGGACTCTTTAAAGTAGAGACACTGCATACTGATATACACCTGAACATCAGCAGGAGAGGACTCTTTAAAGTAGAGACACTACATACTGATATACACCTGAACATCAGCAGGAGAGGACTCTTTAAAGTAGAGACACTACATACTGATATACACCTGAACATCAGCAGGAGAGGACTCTTTAAAGTAGAGACACTGCATACTGATATACACCTGAACATCAGCAGGAGAGGACTCTTTAAAGTAGAGACACTACATACTGATATACACCTGAACATCAGCAGGAGAGAACTCTTTAAAGTAGAGACACTACATACTGATATACACCTGAACATCAGCAGGAGAGGACTCTTTAAAGTAGAGACACTACATACTGATATACACCTGAACATCAGCAGGAGAGAACTCTTTAAAGTAGAGACACTACATACTGATATACACCTGAACATCAGCAGGAGAGAACTCTTTAAAGTAGAGACACTACATACTGATATACAACTGAACATCAGCAGGAGAGGACTCTTTAAAGTAGAGACACTGCATACTGATATACACCTGAACATCAGCAGGAGAGGACTCTTTAAAGTAGAGACACTACATACTGATATACACCTGAACCATCAGCAGGAGAGGACTCTTTAAAGTAGAGACACTACATACTGATATACACCTGAACATCATCAGGAGAGGACCCTTTAAAGTAGAGACTCTACCTACTGATATACACCTGAACATCAGCAGGGAGAGGACTCTTTAAAGTAGAGACACTACATACTGATATACACCTGAACATCAGCAGGAGAGGACTCTTTAAAGTAGAGACACTACATACTGATATACACCTGAACATCAGCAGGAGAGGACTCTTTAAAGTAGAGACACTACATACTGATATACACCTGAACATGAGCGGGAGAGAACTCTTTAAAGTAGAGACACTACATACTGATATACACCTGAACATCAGCAGGAGAGGACTCTTTAAAGTAGAGACACTACATACTGATATGCACCTGAACATCAGCAGGAGAGGACTCTTTAAAGTAGAGACACTACATACTGATATACACCTGAACATCAGCAAGAGAGGACTCTTTAAAGTAGAGACACTACATACTGATATACACCTGAACATCAGCAGGAGAGGACTCTTTAAAGTAGAGACACTACATACTGATATACACCTGAACATGAGCAGGAGAGGACTCTTTAAAGTAGAGACACTACATACTGATATACACCTGAACATCAGCAGGAGAGGACTCTTTAAAGTAGAGACACTACATACTGATATACACCTGAACATCAGCAGGAGAGGACTCTTTAAAGTAGAGACACTACATACTGATATACACCTGAACATCAGCAGGAGAGGACTCTTTAAAGTAGAGACACTACATACTGATAGGACCCCTTCTTTAAACCCTAACTCCTCTCTGTGTGTCTCCCTGCAGGTGGTGGACTACCTGACTCAGTATTCTGGAATAAAACCCGGAGACCTGGACGCTAAGATCTCCTCGAAGCACCTGACCACGCTGAAGTCTACGTACCTGAAGCTCAGGTTCCTCATCGACACCGGCGTGCGCTTCGTGGGCCACGGCCTGCAGAAAGACTTCAGAGTCATCAACCTGCTGGTGAGTCAAACACAACCTGAGATCAATCACTGTGAAGAATGAAGGTATTATAACTATAAACACAGGCTCCTGCAGCATGCTGGCTCCCACAGGAACATCAGACCTCTAGCTACACCTTTCCTCTTCAAGCATTACATTTAGTGTTGTTGTTGTTGTTGTTGTTTTGAAGGTCCTCAAAGATCAGGTGGTGGACACGGTGCACTTGTTCCATCTTCCTCGCAAAAGGATGATTTCTCTGAGGTTCCTCGCCTGGTACTTCCTGGGTAAGTTAGGGCGCCTATTGTACTTTCTTTAGATGATTGTCTAACCTTTACTTTCCCACGGTCTGAAGGGTCTTCCAGTTTATCCAGAGTCTGCAGCTTCTCTGTTTCGGTTCACTCTGGTTGTTTAGTTTCAACCGCTTTACACCAGAATCACATGAAGCAGTGAAGCAGCGGTCGGACGTACGGCCAATAATCCTCCTGCAATATAACATTTGCACCACAGTTTTAGTCCGGATGCTCAGACAGAGTTTCGTTGTCTTGTACTCTGTGCGATGCCAGTAGAGTGTAACCCCCCCCCCCCCCGTGTGTGTGCAGAGCTGAACATCCAGGGCGAGACCCACGACAGTATCGAGGACGCCCGCACGGCGCTGGCGCTCTACAGGAAGTACCTGGAGCTGAGCCGCGGGGGGGGGCAACGACGAGGTGAGGAAGGTCCTGAAGGGGCTGTACGAGAAGGGGAGGCAGCTGGACTGGAAGGCCCCCGAGAGCGAGCCCCAGGACCCCCCCCAAGGTACAAACGCAACACTTTGTTTATTGGTTTTCCCCCACACATAACAGGAGAACATACAGAGTGGCCTGAGGCCTGTACTACGAAGCCGGATGTTCTCTGAGCGGCTAACTTCAGGGAAATCTCAGGCTTTCCGGTCCTACGACGCTGGTTCTCTTTTTAGCGGGCTAGATCTCCATGGTAACTTATGCTGAGCGGCTAACCCCCTTGGGAGGAGGTTAGGTTGCAGGCTAAGAGATCAACTCAGTGAAAGCACCGCCTGCTGACCAATCAGAGCTCCGTGTGCGGAGTTTAAAGCGATCAAGTCATATTACAGGATAGAGGAAATACAGAAAAACTGCCGTTGCAGGAAAGACGGCCGGCAAAAATCACCTGACTGTGAGAACGTGAACATTAATAGAATATCCCCTCCCATCTTCAGAGCAATCTGACTATTATAACATTAGCGTTAAGAAAGCTTACTTAAATATCTGCCACGACATAAGTAACCAGATCAGAGTAACATTAAGTACAGTCCGCGGCACTGTGAGTGCAGACGTAGATGTGTCCCATTATCATTCATATCATATCACATCATAATGTATCATATATTTCCTTATCTGAGTCAGCTGAGCCGTATCTGGCCGTGCAACACTCACAGTGTCACATACTGTATGCAGAAGTATTATTTTAAGCAACACATTAAGTTGACGAAACACTCGAGTCAAATGTAATTAAAGTCAGATCGTGTCTTAGACGGGGCGGTGATATCATAAACCTGTTAATGTACGCATTCAAACACTTTTTCTGTTACCAGCTGTATTCACCTTGCAGGTGCAGCTATGTGGCTTTGATCCTGGATAAAGTGTTTAAGTCATGGATGTTTAAAGTTTAACTTCTTCATATTTGACTAATATTAAAGTTCACTTTTCATTCAGGAAGTATGACGCTGCGCTGTCAGTACGCTTGTCCATGTTTGTGATTGGTCGAATGCTCCAAATACCACCCCTTTCATGTGAACGCGCACCTAACTAGATAGGACACGGCTGGCTTGAGCGATCCACTTGATAACCAGCGTCGTAGGACAGTTTAGCGAGAGCGCGTATGTTTTGGATTGGGCCAACCGGCTAACTCAAACATATCCAGGTTAGGTTGAACCAGCTTCGTAGTACAGGCCTCAGGAGGAGCTATATAGAAAATAAATGCAAAAAAGACTATTACTGTAATAGGTGTGTGTGTGTGTGTGTGTGTGTGTGTGTGTGTGTGTGTGTGTGTGTGTGTGTGTGTTGTGTGTGTGTGTGTGTGTGTGTGTGTGTGTGGTGTGGTGTGTGTGTGTGTGTGTGTGTGTGTGTGTGTGTGTGTGTGTGTGTGTGTGTGTGTGTGTGTGTGTGTGTGTGTGTGTGTGTGTGTGTGTGTGTGTGTGTGTGTGTGTGTGTGTGTGTGTGTGTGTGTGTGTGTGTGTGTGTGTGTCCTCTGCAGGTGCCGCTGTGTTCCCCTCGGTGATGGGCCTCTGAACCTCCTCACACACTCTCTCCTCACTTTGTGTATTTGTATTTCTGCATTGTGTATTTCTGACGGTCGTTGTTGTTGTTGTTGTCCTCAGTTCGGTGAATACACAGTTTAAATCATGTCAACATGTGAGCTGCTCCTCCGGACAGGAAGAGGACATTTGTTCTTGATTTTGAATCTTTTTTTAAAGAAAATACATCATGTTTTTTGATGCCTGTAAATAAATAAACGGATCAAGACGAGCGCTACGAGGTGTTTGTGTTTATTACAGAGAACTGGGGAAATCTGCATTTCATGATTTACATAAAACAGGAAAGTCTGTGGAAAGAAACTTCAGTATAGTGTTTTGGAATTGAGAAAAAACGACAGTCAATATTTATTTTACATTATGTCATCATTGTGAGAAGCAAAGTCATAATGACATAGTATGGTATAGTATTCCGAAATGTAGAAATGTAATCATATATTATGTCAAAAATATCCCCCAAAAATAATGGTATAGTGCTTTTTAAAGAAAATACATGTTTTTTGGTGCATGTAAATAAATAAACGAATCAAGAGTATCACTATGAGGTGTTTGTGTTTATTACAAGCTACCGGGGTCATATGTTGTTACGTTCCCTCCTGTACTAGGGGTACGAAGGGAAGTAGCTAAATATTCAATAACCGGGAGAGAGGAAACTGATTTGTGAAGCCACAAGATGTTCTTTTAATTAGTCAAAGAAAAAGAGGCTCACTCGCCAATTTGCAAACTTACGACAAAACCAAAACAACTTTCACGTAACAGAAAGCGACCACAGTCAACCAAGACACTGGCCAGAACTTCTACAAGTTGCACATCCAACAAAAACACTCCACTGCTGCACAGATCACCCACTGCCATCCATGCAGCCAGAGGAGAAGGAAGAGAGACTGCAGCCTTCCTCAGGTCCTTTATGGAGGCTCTGATTGGGGATTGGGAGCACCTGAGGGAGACAATCAGGGGGAGAGAGAGAGAGACACACACACACGCACACACTACGGCACGTAACATGTATTTCATGATTTACATAAAAAATGAATAGTAAAGTAAGAAAAAATCTGAAAAGATTCTTAGTGAAGTATGTCGAATTAAATGACATGGTATTGTATATCAAAAATATCTGAAAAGAAGTCAGTATAGTACGTCGAGAAAGAAAAGGCTAATCTTCTCTGATCGCTGTATTAATAATAAAGTCTGCACTGAAGTGAACTTTTTAAGGATATCAAATAAAGTAAATCAAAACAATAACCAATCAGAATCACTCGGTCACCAAAGACCGAAGTGTGGCGTTAACGACTGAGAATACAACTGTAAACACAAGAGCATTTTGGCTCCTACAACAACAACCAACACATTCAACCTGTTTTGTGTGATATTCTCTCAGTCATATTTCTTCCCTGCAACAGTTTGCTGCTTATTGTTGGACAGAAATGACTTAAAGGTGGGGTAGGTAAGTTTGAGAAACCAGCTCCGCTAGAATTTGAAAATACACAACCGGAGAAAATCTGCCACTTCCTCACAGAGCCCCTCCTCCAACACACACGAACGCGCACATGACCAATGAGGGCACGAGATAAGTTTGTGCACAGATGGAAGGCTGACAGGCAGGTAGGCCATCCAGTTATTTTAGCCGGGCCGGCTCAGATGATTGGTCGTGCTTTTTACAGTACTACGGCTTCCACAGATGATATTTTTTTATGGATTTATTGTCAAAGCACTTCAGATATTCATTGCTATCAGGATGTTAAGAGCATTCCATGGAATATAACAAAAAGTGTATCTCGAGCCGGTTTCTCAAACTTACCTACCCCACCTTTGATGTTGTATATTAAGAGTTTGATCTTGTATATGTATAGAAAATACTAAATATACACTATTACTTTTTTTGACATACGAAAATATGTCGAAAATATCTGGAAAAAGTAATAATATAGTAAGTTGGAAAAAAGTCAGTATACTATAACGGAAACAACCAATCACAGGTGTGTGTGGTGTTCACCAATAATGAGAATAATAAAACACAGGAGCATTTTGGCTTACAACCACAACCAACACATTAAATGTAATATTTCTTCTTTGAAACAGGGGGTGTTTCTCAATGTCGAGGAAGGCTTCTCCAGAGCCACTATTTCAAGGATGCTACGTCATCGAGTCCCGCCGAAGGACCTCTCCAATGTCCAGGATGCTTGGAATTCTACCGAGGACGGCACATGTGTATCCTCCGCGGTCTTAAAATCCCCACAATGCTTTGCGCACGGACCAATTTCCCAAATCTTTGGCGGAAATGTAATGTCTCGTATGACACACACCTGTTAGCCTGTTCCATTCTTCGTTTTTTAGGAAGGATTCTTGCCTAGCCTCTGAAGGACCTGACTCGGAGAGACATGTCCTACCAAGGAAGCGTCCTCGACATTGAGAAACACCCAGTCTCCTGCTTATTGTTGGTTTTTTCCCACATTTTTCAACATTATTTCCACTTTGAAAGCAGAATTTAATCAAAAAATAAAACACAAACAGTCAGTATTGCAAACGGTTTATTCGTAGTAAATGAAGTGTGCAATTCAGTGAATGGAGAGAAAGGAGAGGGAGGGGCGGTCGATGTCTTTGGTCCATAACTCGGGTGGGGGGGGGGGGGGGGGGGTCAATGGATCAGGGTATGGGGGGGGGGAAGAGACAAGAAAAGGCACTTTGAGTTTACAGTTGTCTCAGAAAGGAGGACCTCATGATGCCTCATATGAATATCACTTACAGAACGCCCCACGTGAGCGCACACTGACAGCTACACTTATATGTATATACAGGAGAGAAGGTAAACAGGAAGTAGAAGAAGAGAGGGGGGGGTGATCTTTACAGGCTGTGCGGAGGAAAAGGATAAGGCAGCAGCTTAAAAAAAAATAAAAACAGGACGAAATAATTTTTCTTTGGCGATAAATTAATATTTCTACAGGTTGGAATGTGAAACTAAAAAAGTGGTTAAAGTGTAAAAACATAACAAAGAAAGCTCGATTTGAACTGGAATAAATGTGTTTATCAAACTGCAGACTCGACATCGCCACCATGGAAAGGGTTTAAAGGAATAGTTTGACATTTTTAGGAAAGACATTTGTCTCTTTCTGAGCTGGAGTCTCTAACGGAGAGATGGGGATGTTTTCGTTTGTTGCGCCACTCACAGGAGGATTACGGAAAAAATGTAAGTCCGATTCTCATGAAATTGAAATCAAAGCTTAAGCATGAACTAAGGGAGAAGTGATTACATTTTGGGGCTGATTCAAATATGTTTCGTCACTTATGGAAATGGAGTTGATTGACGTCGGCGCTCGCTGATAGCCCTTTGAGTAAGAGAGGGTTTCTCTGCTTCAAAATGAAATTGAAACCCATTCGATGAGACAGAAAGGACCCATATTTTTACTAAGTTTTCTAGATGTAATTGGGAAAATATCATTGGAAAAAGGAAACAAAAAAAGTCGTTACATTTCTGCAACGAAGACGAGATTCATGCGTTCAAAATTGCATGAAAAATCCTCAAAATGTCGAACTATTCCTCGACTTTAAGCACATTTTAACGTGCCAACAAACTCTTCTCTCCACACAATTAACTACAAATAATAACTCTTTAAATCTCAAATGAGAACAAAACTCTCCCTTCGGTCAGGGGAACTAAAGAAGAGGAGGGGGATGGAAGACGACAGTATCATCATGTAAACAGCCTGCATGTACAAGAGAGGAGAGAGTCCTTCAGACGAGAGGCAGCTTCCTGTTCCTCAAACTCACGGCATGATTCTGAGTTTGATTCATTCACATATGGGATTATAAAAGAGGAGGGGGGGGGGGGGGGGGGGGGTATATTAGTCTAAAGTACCGTCATGATGCAGACGTCTGGAGGGAAAAGGCAAACGTGATTCTCTCCGTGACAAAAAGGCAAGCATGATTTAAATATGTGCAGAGGAACAGAGACGAAGCGCGTGGAAGGAGACGCAGAGTCTGTAAGAAGCTAGCTTAGCTTAGCATAAAGAAATAGACGCAACTAGCTCTGATCTGATTGACTCAAAACGAGGACTGTAACTGATGAATAAATGTTTTCTCATTTCCCTTTACCAATTCAGTCAATACATTACTGATGAGTATTCATCTAAATTACGTAAATATTGAGTCAAAGCAACCCTACAATAGCCTCACAATTATAAGGGACGATATTAGAAATATTACGGTGTTTAATTTCCCTCACAGTGCCCTGACCGAACGAGGGCGCGGAGGAAGCTTCAAGTCTGGAGGATGAATGGATGAATGAACAGGCGTCTCTACAGCTGACGGAATAATGTAAACTTGTTTCTATTCTTCATTGAAAGGAGTTAGTAAAGGGTAGGGGGTTAATGGTGGTGTGTGGGGGGGGGGGGGGGGTGTGTGTTACCGGGCAGGTTAGTAGATGGGTTTTGATTGAGCTTTTTCACGTTTTTCTTTTTCTTCTAATGTCATGGTCCGCGGAGTCCTCTGAGGCAGCCCATTGGAGGAGGTGGAGGGGGGGGCGGGGCCTCTGTGGGGGGGCTGCGAGGGGCCGGGGGGGCCCCCGTCACTCTGGTGCTGTCGGTGGTTCGCCCGGGCGAAGTTCCTGTCGTGATACGAGGCGCCGTTATACCGCTGAGCCCCCGAGTAATAACCCTGACCCTGGAAGGTGCGCCGGTTACCCTGGAAAATCTGAGAGGGGGGGGGGGGGGGGGGGGGGGGGGGGGGGGGGGAGAGTTAAAGAGGTGCATATCAGTATGTAGTGTCTCTACTTTAAAGAGTCCTCTCCTGCTGATGTTCAGGTGTATATCAGTATGTAGTGTCTCTACTTTAAAGAGTCCTCTCCTGCTGATGTTCAGGTGTATATCAGTATGTAGTGTCTCTACTTTAAAGAGTCCTCTCCTGATGATGTTCAGGTGTATATCAGTATGTAGTGTCTCTACTTTAAAGAGTCCTCTCCTGATGATGTTCAGGTGTATATCAGTATGTAGTGTCTCTACTTTAAAGAGTCCTCTCCTGCTGATGTTCAGGTGTATATCAGTATGTAGTGTCTCTACTTTAAAGAGTCCTCTCCTGCTGATGTTCAGGTGTATATCAGTATGTAGTGTCTCTACTTTAAAGAGTCCTCTCCTGCTGATGTTCAGGTGTATATCAGTATGTAGTGTCTCTACTTTAAAGAGTCCTCTCCTGCTGATGTTCAGGTGTATATCAGTATGTAGTGTCTCTACTTTAAAGAGTCCTCTCCTGCTGATGTTCAGGTGTATATCAGTATGTAGTGTCTCTACTTTAAAGAGTCCTCTCCTGATGATGTTCAGGTGTATATCAGTATGTAGTGTCTCTACTTTAAAGAGTCCTCTCCTGATGATGTTCAGGTGTATATCAGTATGTAGTGTCTCTACTTTAAAGAGTCCTCTCCTGCTGATGTTCAGGTGTATATCAGTATGTAGTGTCTCTACTTTAAAGAGTCCTCTCCTGCTGATGTTCAGGTGTATATCAGTATGTAGTGTCTCTACTTTAAAGAGTCCTCTCCTGATGATGTTCAGGTGTATATCAGTATGTGGTGTCTCTACTTTAAAGAGTCCTCTCCTGATGATGTTCAGGTGTATATCAGTATGTAGTGTCTCTACTTTAAAGAGTCCTCTCCTGCTGATGTTCAGGTGTATATCAGTATGTAGTGTCTCTACTTTAAAGAGTCCTCTCCTGCTGATGTTCAGGTGTATATCAGTATGTAGTGTCTCTACTTTAAAGAGTCCTCTCCTGCTGATGTTCAGGTGTATATCAGTATGTAGTGTCTCTACTTTAAAGAGTCCTCTCCTGCTGATGTTCAGGTGTATATCAGTATGTAGTGTCTCTACTTGAAAGAGTCCTCTCCTGCTGATGTTCAGGTGTATATCAGTATACGGACAGTGTGGTATTTATACGTTTACGACCTGAATGCTGGATGTTGATTTTTTAAAGTGATCCCACCTGTTTGTTGGGGGGGGGGCGGTGGTCGTTGGGGGGGCTCGTGGTCTGGGAGGAGGGGGTTTCTCCGAAGGGGGGGCTGGCGACGGACGACGTGGAGCTGCAGCGAGAGCGGTTTGAATATCCTGTGTTGGGATGGTAAACTGAGAGAAAGAAAGGAAATGAGAAACAGCCTCAAACACTAACGAAGCTCGGCGGAAAACTCATATTTCGATCATGTAAAATATATTCAGCCTCAGATCATGATACGAATATAATAAATGAACAGTTTCAATCCTCGGTTTAAATCTAAATGTATTTCCAGAAACGTCCAGGAGGTGGAGCTGTGCTGCAAAGAATCATAATCTGGCTTAGATTAGACAATTTCTAAAAAACGAAACTTAACTGGAAAGAGTAAACGCTCTGTAAACAAACCACACAAAAGGTCATAATCAATATCAATTGATAACTAATCAAACTGTGGAACTAACCTTTATTAAACACTGAAATGATGCAACTGTAGTTCTTGATTTGTGGGGAAGATATTTTGTATTAGGAGTCATTTCTGAGATGTTCCCGTCACTAATAAAGAAACTGATGAAGATGAAGCTGTACCTGATCCAAACCCTGTGATGGTCGCCTTCAGCGGCTCGAGATCAAACGTAAATCTGAGAGCTTTCCCGAGGTCTTCATCGTATTTACGCTCACTCACAAAGTGCTGCGGAGAAAAGAAAGAGGAGAAAACGGATTATATTCAACACATAAATCCAAAATACATTTCTTATTTCTTGTTGTGGTCCACTTTGGTAAAGACTGTCACTACCCGACCTGCCCCCCTGCCTGACCTGCCCCCCTGCCCGACCTGCCCCCCTGCCCGACCTGCCCCCCTGCCCGATCTGCGAGATGGTCCGCCATATTGGACAACTCCATACGGCAACTCTAATAGGACATTTGACGGCTGCCTGATTTGCCTCGTGCATGCGCGAGTCATAAACGTCTCAAATATCTATACAAAAATCTTTTGTTATTTTGAAGGACATTCACAGTTAATGTAATTAGATATAAATTATGAATGCCATACATATTGCATACATTCACAGTCAATATTTCTTCAGTATGATAGCTGTCTAACAGAAGTTAAATCCATTTCTCACTTATTCTGACAATAAAAGGAGCTGTTAAATAATAGTGAAGTCACGTTGTAATAATAGCTCATCTCTCTCTCAGATTAATATTGTCGGGTTTTTTTAGTGTTCTTTTTCTGCTTTGCCAAACGCCACTGTGTCAAGTGTCCTATTACGGCCCCTACACACGGCGGCATGCGTTGAAGCTTCAACGCTTCTGCCCATTCACTTTGAATGGGGTGACGTCACGCTTTGCTGAACTGCATCACACGATGTAGTTGCTCGCTTCAAAAGTAGAGCAATGTTCTACTTTTGAAGCTTCGACGGAAGCGTCAGCCAATCGAATCATATGCCATTACAAGCTCTAGCCAATCAAACCGCTGCTTGTGTGTCCAGGGCGGGATATTCATGTGATTGGTTGTTGGTCGAGCTTCAGACAAGCCCGCCGCCAAGCTTCAACGCACGCCGCCGTGTGTAGGGGCCGTTAGAGTTGCCGTATGTAGTTGTTAAATATGGCGGACCATCTCGCACATGCGCAGTGCAGATCGGGTAGTGACAAAGACAACAGCATCAGAAAGCATGAACCCCAACATTAGCAACCTTTAGCTTAGCGGTGGTGACGTGAAGTCATGTGACCGTGCTGTAGTTCCTTTATAGCCCAACATTAGCCACCTTTAGCTTAGCGGTGGTGACGTGAAGTCATGTGACCGTGCTGTAGTTCCTTTATAGCCTAACATTAGCAACCTTTAGCTTAGCGGTGGTGACGTGAAGTCATGTGACCATGCTGTAGTTCCTTTATAGCCCAACATTAGCAACCTTTAGCTTAGCGGTGGTGACGTGAAGTCATGTGACCGTGCTGTAGTTCCTTTTATAGCCCAACATTAGCCACCTTTAGCTTAGCGGTGGTGACGTGAAGTCATGTGACCGTGCTGTAGTTTCTTTATAGCCCAACATTAGCCTCCTTTAGCTTAGCGGTGGTGTCGTGAAGTCATGTGACCGTGCTGCAGTTCCTTTATAGCCCAACATTAGCCACCTTTAGCTTAGCGGTGGTGACGTGAAGTCATGTGACCGTGCTGTAGTTCCTTTATAGCCCAACATTAGCCACCTTTAGCTTAGCGGTGGTGACGTGAAGTCATGTGACCGTGCTGTAGTTTCCCTATAACCCAACATTAGCCACCTTTAGCTTAGCGATGGTGAAGTGAAGTCATGTGACCGTGCTGTAGTTCCTTTATAGCCCAACATTAGCCACCTTTAGCTTAGCGGTGGTGACGTGAAGTCATGTGACCGTGCTGTAGTTTCCCTATAACCCAACATTAGCCACCTTTAGCTTAGCGATGGTGAAGTGAAGTCATGTGACCGTGCTGTAGTTCCTTTATAGCCCAACATTAGCCTCCTTTAGCTTAGCGGTGGTGACGTGAAGTCATGTGACCGTGCTGTAGTTCCTTTATAGCCCAACATTAGCCACCTTTAGCTTAGCGGTGGTGACGTGAAGTCATGTGACCGTGCTGTAGTTCCTTTATAGCCCAACATTAGCCACCTTTAGCTTAGCGGTGGTGACGTGAAGTCATGTGACCGTGCTGTAGTTTCCCTATAAACCCAACATTAGCCACCTTTAGCTTAGCGATGGTGAAGTGAAGTCATGTGACCGTGCTGTAGTTCCTTTATAGCCCAACATTAGCCTCCTTTAGCTTAGCGGTGGTGACGTGAAGTCATGTGACCGTGCTGTAGTTCCTTTATAGCCCAACATTAGCCACCTTTAGCTTAGCGATGGTGAAGTGAAGTCATGTGACCGTGCTGTAGTTCCTTTATAGCCCAACATTAGCCACCTTTAGCTTAGCGGTGGTGACGTGAAGTCATGTGACCGTGCTGTAGTTCCTTTATAGCCTAACGTTAGCTTTTTACTTCAGAAATCATGAAGTGGTGTTAATATAACTTCAAACATCCAACTGCTACTCAGTAGTATGTATCTAATACCTAATATATATATATCATTCCAATAACTTGTATATAGACTCATACTGCACTATTCCACATCATAACTTTATTTCATTTTTATAACTATTATTATTTTTGTATTGCTCTTGCTCTTATTGTTATTATGTTATGTTATTATGTTGCATTGTTGGAGAAGCCTGTGACATAAGATTTTCAACTGCATAATTACTCTGTAGCTATGTCAGATTGACAATAAAGAACCTTGAACCTTGATATGTGGAGATTCTCCGGCTGAACAGAATTTGTAAGTAGAAGAGAAATCCCATTGGACCAGGGAGATGCTGCGTTCAGGGACCAACACAGAAATACGAAAAATCACTGCACCACTCTACCTTGATGTCTGCACGCAGTTCGGTCAGCTGCTCCTCTGACATGGAGGCCGACTGATCTGTGAGCCTCCTCAGCTCCTCCGCCTTCTTCTGCCGGGCGCCCAGGATCATCACTGAAACACAAGCGTGATCGTTTACAGATGGAAACAAGCACGACAGATTATATCAAAGTAACTTATGAATACATTTAGTATGAAGTTCCACTTGTTCCGAGTGGTCTTTTTGAACATCAGCAGGAGAGGACTCTTTAAAGTAGAGACACTATATACTGATATACACCTGAACATCAGCAGGAGAGGACTCTTTAAAGTAGAGACACTACATACTGATATACACCTGAACATCAGCAGGAGAGGACTCTTTAAAGTAGAGACACTACATACTGATATACACCTAAACATCAGCAGGAGAGGACTCTTTAAAGTAGAGACACTACATACTGATATACACCTGAACATCAGCAGGAGAGGACTCTTTAAAGTAGAGACACTACGTACTGATATACACCTGAACATCAGCAGGAGAGGACTCTTTAAAGTAGAGACACTACGTACTGATATACACTTGAACATCAGCAGGAGAGGACTCTTTAAAGTAGAGACACTACATACTGATATACACCTAAACATCAGCAGGAGAGGACTCTTTAAAGTAGAGACACTACATACTGATATACACTTGAACATCAGCAGGAGAGGACTCTTTAAAGTAGAGACACTACATACTGATATACACCTAAACATCAGCAGGAGAGGACTCTTTAAAGTAGAGACACTACATACTGATATACACCTGAACATCAGCAGGAGAGGACTCTTTAAAGTAGAGACACTACATACTGATATACACCTGAACATCAGCAGGAGAGGACTCTTTAAAGTAGAGACACTACATACTGATATACACTTGAACATCAGCAGGAGAGGACTCTTTAAAGTAGAGACACTACATACTGATATACACCTAAACATCAGCAGGAGAGGACTCTTTAAAGTAGAGACACTACATACTGATATACACTTGAACATCAGCAGGAGAGGACTCTTTAAAGTAGAGACACTACATACTGATATACACCTAAACATCAGCAGGAGAGGACTCTTTAAAGTAGAGACACTACATACTGATATACACCTGAACATCAGCAGGAGAGGACTCTTTAAAGTAGAGACACTACATACTGATATACACCTGAACATCAGCAGGAGAGGACTCTTTAAAGTAGAGACACTACATACTGATATACACCTGAACATCAGCAGGAGAGGACTCTTTAAAGTAGAGACACTACATGCTGATATACACCTGAACATCAGCAGGAGAGGACTCTTTAAAGTAGAGACACTACATACTGATATACACCTGAACATCAGCAGGAGAGGACTCTTTAAAGTAGAGACACTACATACTGATATACACCTGAACATCAGCAGGAGAGGACTCTTTAAAGTAGAGACACTACATACTGATATACACCTGAACATCAGCAGGAGAGGACTCTTTAAAGTAGAGACACTACATACTGATATACACCTGAACATCAGCAGGAGAGAACTCTTTAAAGTAGAGACACTACATACTAACATGAAGAACCTGAGCCTAAATGATTCATTGATTATGAAAACAGCTGCAGATTATTATAACTGCTCCCTTTCTGTTTCCTTCAGTGTCGGTAAGTTTCATTTTCCCGGAGGATCAGCTGTCCTCTTGTGATTTGAGAGGTCAAAGTGCAGCTGACTCGGCGTCTGAGAGTAAACACGGGTCAAAGATAACTCATGTCACATCACGATGTCACGCATGTGCTGACGTGAAGGCACAGAAGTCACTGACACACATGTCGTTACACACTGAAAACACACTTCACATGTACAGTATCTGACATGTTTACTTGACAAACTGTGCTGAACAAATGGAGCATATTTTAACGTATTAACTCCACCAGTGTGGGTTGATATATTTAAACTGAAGTTAATTAAAAAACTGAAAATATTCTATTCTCAACTATTCTGACATTAAGTTTTCGACAAAAAAATGGAGGAATTGCTGCTTTCTATGGAAGCTGATGAGGGCCAAATGTGATTAATTTTATCTAAATAATTTCTTTTCTAAGAATTTTAACTTTTTTCTCAGATTTGACTTTTCCTTAGAATGATGAATTATTTTCAGAATTATTACTTTTCTTCAGAATTGTAACTTTTCGTTAGAATTGTAACTTTTTCAGAATTTTGACTTTTTCAGATTTGCTTATTATTTTGACATTTTTTCAGATTTAAAAAATAATGATAATTTATTTCTGAAATATGGCTTGTTTGTTTTTCGGAATTTTGACTTGTTACTTAATTTCCTGCATTCAGTTTGGCTGTGGACCTTCTCCCTATAAAACCTAATTTAAGTCATTTTAATGCTTTAATGTCAGAAAACGCCTCTGGAATCTGGAGACTTGCTTAAAGTCATCACCTTGGACTTTGAGAAAACCGACATGGACATTTCCTTTTACCGTTTTCTCTGACATGAAACCAATATAATCAGCTGAACCCAGATCCAAACCAGGGGGCACATTAGCTAGAAGGTGCATGTTTGAGGTAGCCTTGCTTTTGTAAAAAGGTGGAAGAAATGCTCGAGTTTCTCCTCTTTCCTCTCGACTCCCCGGCCAAAGACACAAAGACAGCATTGAGCGCACCTCGACACCTGACACTATTCACCACTTCACACAACACTGCAGCCAGAGGACAGCAAGGAGAATGGCCTACTTGTACAAATATGCAGTCCTGCTCTGTCATGTTACACACACACACACACTCACACACTAGGTGGGATGCTGGAGGTATACGAGGAGCCTGAAGGCACCACGGCAGTCTGAATCTGGGACATCTGCTTCCTCTCAGGAGGTGATTTAGGTCAGACTCTCCTCTCAGTCAGGTGATAATTATACCTGAAGAATACTCACTGTGTGAGGGTGTGTGTGTGTGTGTGTGAGGGTGTGTGTGTGTGTGTGTGTGTGAGGGGGTGTGTGTGTGTGTGTGTGTGTGTGTGTGTGTGTGTGTGTGTGTGTGTGTGTGTGTGTGTGTGTGTGTGTGTGTGTGTGTGTGTGTGTGTGGAGAAGCAGGAACTGTGGCTCAGTTTACACACTTGTTAAGATAAATAAATGTAACACAGTACTTACTGGCCTCTGCCTTCACTTTGTCCATTTCTCCCAGTAGAGTCACTTCTCTGTCCATCAAACTAGAGACAAGAACAAGGAGAGAGGAGGAAGGATAGGTGTTATTTTCATTTGAATAACTGCAAGAAATAAGGTTCATTCAGTGGATTCTGAAGTTGGTGAAGTCCTTTTTTCGTAAAATTCATTTTTTTCAGTTTCTAAAATGTGAGGATTTGCGTACATAACAAACAAACACAAACAACCTGGAACTAAAACCTCAGTGCAACAACTCCCAAATTAAACAATAACAAACACTTATTTTAGAATCAGACAAAATTCAAATATTTATAAAAAACAGAACCGATAAAAAAAGTCTGGAAAAGTATGTTTTAATATTCTATATTTTCGCTGAACAATTAAAAATAAAACAATCTCTTTTTCCAAGATCTACATTTGAACTAGGGGTCGACCGACTATTGGGCTCCTCCTATAAAAAGTGAGCATACATATAAGTGAACATTTATTTATATATTCAGTTATGATATCGAGTTATCTGGCTGCAGATTTGCGTAAGCTTTACTTCAGATTAAAAGGACTTTGGATGCAAAGAGGTTTTAGTTGTGTAGTTCCTTGAGTGATATGTTGAGAGGGGTTACTGCAGGGCATGTTTGACAGCTGCTGCCATGAGGTGACACCCACGACAAACTTTGCATCATTCATTAAATATTATCTATGACTGATTCATGATTACACGGATGCTCAGAGCTGATATTCTATTTATCCAAAAGTATTGCGCAGTTTGTGTATTTTAGAAGTATTTACTCAGTGTTTTCTGTCCATTTTAGTCTCCTCCTGGGAAAAGATCTTCTTGGAGTTTATTTTAAATGTAAAAACAAAGGATTATTAAATTAGCTTTAACAACAATGTGAGTCTGCACCACAGGAGTGCTATGTGTGTCAAACACTGACATACTAATCAGTGTGTTATCTTTGTTTGACGTCGTGTGAGGAGCTGAATGGATATCACATTAACAGGAAACACACCGTCTCTGTTGTGATTGGTCCACCGCTTAGAGATGTCCCGCCCCTTAACCTTAATCACATACAATGCGTTGGAGCACGAGCCAATAGGAGCGCGAGTGTTCCATATTAAATTAAATCACATAACAAGCTAAGGTAGATGGACTGTACTGCCTTTAAAGTATTAGTTATATGTACATCCTGCATGACAAAGACACGCAGAACAGAGACAGTATTTCATTAGGTGATAATAATAATAGTTATGATAGTTGACACACTGCGCTGTAGTGAAGGTAATATTTGTCTCGAGGCTCCACATGGAGAACAGTTTGTTCAGCGTCATGCAGGACAAAGGTGAGGAAAATGAACTCTGACACACGTTGATGGTTCAGCAGAAATGTTAAAGTGACACCCATGGGCGACAGAGAAATACAGCAGTAGTGGTAGCATGTGTAATATCAGCATCTGTCCTGAAATAACTAGGGAATCGTTTGGATTTCAATGATTCCGGTTCTTTATTTACACTCAAACTGGAAATCGGAAAACCAGAAGTTTTAAGGAAGGAGGTGTCCTAAAGACTGAAGTGTCCTAAAGACTGAAGTGTCCTAAAGACTGAAGTGTCCTAACGACTGAAGTGTCCTAAAGACTGAAGTGTCCTAAAGACTGAAGTGTCCTAAAGACTGGAGTGTCCTAACGACTGGAGTGTCCTAAAGACTGGAGTGTCCTAAAGACTGGAGTGTCCTAAAGACTGGAGTGTCCTAAAGACTGGAGTGTCCTAAAGACTGAAGTGTCCTAAAGACTGAAGTGTCCTAAAGACTGAAGTGTCCTAAAGACTGAAGTGTCCTGAAGTGTCCTAAAGACTGAAGTGTCCTAAAGACTGAAGTGTCCTAAAGACTGAAGTGTCCTAAAGACTGAAGTGTCCTAAAGACTGAAGTGTCCTAAAGACCGAAGTGTCCTAAAGACCGAAGTGTCCTAAAGCCCGAAGTGTCCTAAAGCCCAAAGTGTCCTAAAGCCCAAAGTGTCCTAAAGCCCAAAGTGTCCTAAAGCCCAAAGTGTCCTAAAGCCCAAAGTGTCCTAAAGCCCAAAGTGTCCTAAAGCCCAAAGTGTCCTAAAGCCCAAAGTGTCCTAAAGCCCGAAGTGTCCTAAAGCCCGAAGTGTCCTAAAGCCCGAAGTGTCCTAAAGACTGAAGTGTCCTAAAGACTGAAGTGTCCTAACGACTGAAGTGTCCTAACGACTGAAGTGTCCTAAATCGTTTTTTTGAGAGGGTAACAATAAGTCCCATGCCAAGTTCACTGGGAGAAAGATTCCAAGTCAAGAAGTCTTAATATTGTCTACTTTACTGTCTCCAGCCTTCAGGTACAATCTGCTCAAAGACAGTCGGTCTGTCCTGAACAGTGAATATGAAGTGTTTCCATCACATCAGAGATACAGGGACGGAGAGACTGAAGCTCTCCTTGGTGCACCAGTCAACCCTCAAATTCAATATTGAGCTAAATCCCAGATGTAATGTAGGGTCTTAAACACATTGTTTTTGCACTGATGGTGTTAAGATGTTAAATGTCTGTTTCTTTGTCATATTTGTGCTTGTTTGAAGTTTGCAAATGGACCTGCTGTGATGCAAGAAACATTTCAGACTTGATCTGACAATAAATCAATGATCGCATCGTAATAATAGTCCAACAAGTCTCAATCGATGAAACCATGACACGGCACTTTTTTTCACGGTTATCTCTGATACAGGAACTTAATTATATTTCAGAGTTCCTCAAAAGCTTGTTGTGGTGGAAACACCCTCCAGGGTTGAGTTACACCTCGCTTTACAACATGCTCAAGTATCTGAGTCACCTTCATTACATGTTAGACGCTTTTATCCAAAGCGACTTACATACTCAAAACTGTGGACAATCCCCACAGGAGCAATTGTCTTGCCCAGGGACACAACGACATGCTGCCTGCAGTGGGGTTTGAACCCTGATCCGAACACTAACGCACTATCCACTGCGCCACAGCCTCCCGAACCTTCAGATTCAACTTCAGATTCATTCAGAAAGTATATATTTAAACACAAAGGCCTTAAAGAACTGGGACGTAGAGACGTGTCTTATCGCCTTCAAGATAACAGCAGATTATTGAAGCTGGTTTTTATTTAAAGTTCTCAGAAACAGATTAAGGTTTGAGATTAAAGACAATCAAGGATGCATCTTTTGTAAATAATGTCTCACAGCTCTCACTACCTTCAGATATCAGGGAAGTCAGCTCGCTAAATTCAAAAGAAAGCTGATAATGATCTCTTCCCTTTAGCCTTGAGCTCTCTTTTACCTCCCTGACACAGGACAGAAACTCTTCGCTTCTCACGGAGCTTACACATGGCGGCGTGCGTTGAAGCTTGACCAACAACCAATCACATGAATCTCCCGCCCCGGACACACAAGCACGCGGTTTGATTGGCTAGAGCTTGCACTGGCATATGATTTGGTTGGCTGACGCTTCCGTCGAAGCTTCAAAAAGTGGAACATTGCTCTACTTTTGAAGCGAGCAACGCTTCGCTCCCACAATGCAGTTCGGCGAAGCGTGACGTCACCCCATTCAAAGTGAATCAACGCACGCCGCCGTGTGTAAGCTCCGTAAGTGATGAAATATCTGACTGGACTTTCTGTATTGTTGCTCCCACAGGAGGTCATTTTGTTCACCTCTAATGTTCAATACAGAAAAACTAGCAGCCTGGTGAGGATGAAACTCGGTGGAAGGAAGTAACAAAGGTTAAGGAAGAACAGATTGGATTTTGGAGAGGATCCCAAACCCCGGGCGGACACACCGACTCGGGTTCACTTCCGTTAGCATTGTGAGAAATGTGAATGTGCTGCTTTCCTGCACTGTGGGAATAAAGGTCAAAGGATTTCTGAACTGGTGACAAATCCTGAAACAACGCCTCTCTCAAGTCAATAACAACAACTCCAACTGCTCCGACAACACATGGATTTGTAGCGTCCATGTTTTCACGTTATGACTTGAAGATCATCAACGACTTCCAAACTTTGGAAATACAACAACTATGAGTCAAACCTCAGATTTAAAAACTGCCGCTTACAGGGACCAAAGTGTCCTAATCAGGGTTGGAGTTATGTGGGAGCTGAGCTCTCATAAGGAGGGGTCTGAGCTCCCATGAAATCATACATCTGTGGGGGTCGCTAATACATTACCAACAACCTTTATTTTAGTCACAAATAATGCATGTGTCAATGTAATGAGTATTATTTACGTTAACGAGGTAAATAGGCTAAAAGAAAAACATTATTGCGCAATCTATGCCTGTGAGCGTGCTGCGCAAACCGAGATGATGTGTGTGTGCGTACCTTTTCATATTTAAGTTTGTAGCAAGTAGAGGGCTGCTCTGTGTGTGTGTGTGTGTGTGTGTGTGTGTGTGTGTGTTTTTGCACGCGTGCACACACACACGTTGGTTTTAAAGACCCCCATAAAGCTCAGATTATAACTCGAACCCTGGTCCTAAAGCCTGAGAGCACAAAGTGTCCTAAAACCCGAAGTGTCTTAAAACCCGAAGTGTCTTAAAACCCGAAGTGTCTTAACGCCTGAAAAGTCTTTAGGACATTTAGGACATTTATCAGAACATTAGTCACTGAAGACGAGATGTGAAAGACCCTTTAAAATTTGACCTGGGATTAAGCTGTGTTTCATTTCAGGATTGACTAAATGTTGGACCATATGTCTCTGATTTGCTGACCATGCGAGGAGCACTCGAAGGCTCCGAGTGCCACTACAGGAGTAAAAGTTGAAACCCCTCACCAGCTCTGGAGCTCAGCGAACGTGGTCTTCATGGTCTTTATGGAGGAGTCCATCTCCTCCTTCACCACCACCCTGTAGCGGGTCAGCGAGGCGGTGCATCTCTGCAGATCCTTCACCGAGCGGTCGATGTTCGGAGCTGAGGGGCGGACATTGAACGTCACTTAAAGAAGAGCGACCACTGCCAAAAAGTACTTCAGTTTTGGGAAACAAGGTTTTGCAAAAGATACTGAGACATGAGGTTCCTACGGACTACATGGCACTCTGTCTGGGTTAGATAGAGATGATGTGAACATGATGTTGATAGCTGGCCAGAAAGCCATAACTAGGAAATGTGATTTATTACTGGGCAGCTTAACTTATTATAATATATGATAATGTTTTTATATTTTGCATTAATGTCTCACCCATCTTCCTGACTCCCGCCCCCTGCTCCTCGCTGTGGGGGGGGAAGGAGGAGGCGGGGGGGTGAGAGCCGGATCCGGTCCGGTGCCGGTTCTTGTTTCCTCGGGGGGGCTGGTGGAGATTCCTGCCGCCCTGCTGTGAGGGGGGGGGCGGAGCGCTGCACACTATCTCTGCTTCTGCACCTGGGAGGAGACGGGTTACTTTAATTTTTTTAAGACTATATAAATATACATATATAATATATATATCAAATAATGTATTATATTACATGATTGCCTCTGCGTTGGATTATTATAGGATAGGGTAACAACTTTATAATTAACTACGTCTGAAAGCAGAAGTCTCATTGCCAGTCTCTTCAGTCTCACAAAATGAGATGCATTGTGGGACATGGGCAACGTGCTGTGAAGCGGCATGTAACCGTATAATAAACATATTTTATTCGGCCGGATTTGCATTCTAATTATTGGTGCATTAATGTGTTCATCACTTGGTAAAGCTGGGGTTTATTTGAAGGCCTTTATTTAATACTGGGCTTATTATAATATCAGATAATGTTTTTATATTTTGCATTAATAACCTAAATCTACAAAGTAAGGTTTAGGCAGAACTTGTTTCTTTCAGCTGCCTTTGAGAAAGTTAAACATGTCTTTGTTACGTCGCGTTGGGACGACTAACTCCTGATTTGTTGGACCAGTCGATCATTGGCTGTTCGTACAAACTGCAGCATGCTTAGTGCAGAAGTCTGTATTTAGCCGTTACATTATCATAGCACCAGATGCAGTAGAGGGACTTATTGTTATTATTCTTTCAGAGCTCTTGCGGGCCACACAAAATGAAGTTTTGAGTTTGACACCCCTGATCCATACCCATATCATACCCATATCATACCCATATCATACCCATATCATACCCATAGTGTCCCCAAAAGCACCATGCTAGGATGATGAAAAGCTTGAGCTGCAGCGTCGTGTTCTTACCGGGTGTTTCTGCCGCGGCGGGCTCAGAGTCCAGCTCGGCTGCGTCCAGAGAGGCGGAGTCCAGCTGCTCGCTCAGAGAGTCCAGAGACTCCCCGTCCAGCACCGAGCCGTTGCCGTGGAAACCGTTAAGCTCCTCCTCCTTCTTCTCGTCCTCCTCCGGCGGCGCCGCGGGTTGACCCGGCTCCACCGCCTCGGGCTTCGGCTTCGGCTTCTTTTTCTTCTTGGGCTAAGGGCGGAGACATATCGATGTCAAACGTCTTTGTTCAGATTTTGCAAGATCTCTATCCTAGTGGAGCAACTTCAGTGCGCGCAGAGTCAGAAGTATGACTGCGTAGGAAGGTAAGAAATAATGTTTAATAAGGATTTTATGGAGCTGGGACAGGTGGGTAATAATCTGAGAAAACTATCCAAGAATAAAGTTGAATTTTCTCTAATATTTAATAATAATAAATTACATTTGTATCGCGGTCAGAAATCACAAAGTTAGATCCATCTCAGTGCAGAAGCTTCTAGTCTCTGTCTGCAGTGCACGACCTATTTAAACTGTGCTCTATATAAGGGATTTATCAATAAGGAAATACTGCTGATTTCATCCAGAAGCAGCAAGAGCATCCGGACTTTGGAGAGGTGAAGATATCTCCATGTTCTTAGTGTAGCACCTCCTCACTAACGAGTCGAATGTGGTTTTTAATACATTACGTCTCATTATGCAGAATGGCACATTTTAGCACCATATCTTTTAAATGATTGTATTCTAATTATTGGTGCATTAACGTGTTCATCACTTGGTTAAGGTGGGGTTTATTTGAAGGCCTTTATATTCTACTGCGCAGTTTAACAGTATTTATATTTTTGCATTATTGCCCTAAAATCTGCCTCGTAACTAAATATGTAAAATAAATGTAGTGGAATAAAAGCATAAAGTAGCATAATGTGAGTATAATAAGTAGCACCTTTTTTTATTTAAAGGTCCCATGTCATGGCCATTTCTACTGATCATAATTCCATTGTTGAGGTCTACTAGAATAGATTTACATTGTTCACCAAACTCACATTGGTTTCTCATACAGCATCTCTGTATAGTATGTGTATTCACTCTCTGTCCTACACGGCTTGTTGGAGCTCCTGCCCCCCCCCCTCCCTGTGAGCCCAGTGGCCGTCTGCGAGACAGCGAGACACAGCGAAACCCAGCCCCAAACACACACACACCCGCAGCCTGGCTGGGAGTTTGTGTGTGTGCCCAGGCTGAGCTCCGCAGTGTCTCGCTGTCTCGCCGACCCCACACCAGTGAGCCAGCTCACAGTGTCCCGCTCCTTGCAGCGAGCCTCGCAACGTCCCGCCGTGTGTGTGTGAGGAAGTCCGCGGATTGGTCCAAACGTAACGGCTCCGCGGACGTAACGTTACGTCACTATACCCGAAATACGTCACTATACCAGAAATACGTCACTATACCCGAAATACGTCACTATACCCGAAATACGTCACTATACCCGAAATACGTCACTATACCCGAAATACGTCACTATACCGAAATACGTCACTATACCAGAAATACGTCACTATACCCGAAATACGTCACTATACCAGAAATACGTCACTATACCAGAAATATGTCACTATACCCGAAATACGTCACTATACCAGAAATACGTCACTATACCAGAAATATGTCACTATACCCGAAATACGTCACTATACCAGAAATACGTCACTATACCCGAAATACGTCACTATACCAGAAATATGTCACTATACCAGAAATATGTCACTATACCCAAGAAGTAAACAATGTAAAAAGAGAAATGTCCAGCGAGGCGTTCTGGGGCAGCATAGACAGGTCTTTTCTGTGTTGGAGTTTTACTCGCTACAGGGTGTACTTTGAGGGTTTGTGACTCTGCAGACCGTTTACATGCAGAAGCTACATAACACACAAGGGGACGGGTAATAACCGGAAAAGCATGACATCGGACCTTTAAATCCAGTACTTCGGTACATTTCACCACCGCCTACGAGTGCTTTCATATTGTTTAATTTAAGAAGAACATGAATGAATGTTAAACGCTGCAGTCGGAGATAATGCTGACTCAGCAGAGAGACATGCAGGCCCTTCAGGTTTAGTTAGTTTATTTGTTCATAGTGTCGTGGACCGTCCCCATTCATCAACTGTCACAATGGGGCAGCTTTAGCCAACATTGATAATCTCCATCTTTTGTCCTGATGATAATAAAACACATTTTAAAAATCTCAACACATCAACAGCATTAGTTATAAAGAAAGGATGAAAGACAAGTAGATGGAGGCGAAAGGATAACACGCGTTACTACACGACAAAAACTCTAAAACTTGCCCAGTATCTTAGTCTAACATCTCGTCAGAGTATGTCTGTACTCCTGATATAAGACATGATAACTTCAGAAGTGACACTGCAGTGAGATATAGGCTCTTGTTTTTAGACAATGCTTCATCTTGTTGAGTCAAAACATCTTATTTTGAGTTGTATCTCAGATGAAACACATATTTACTTACGTATTTATTAGAAAAAACTAACATCAGAAAACAGAACACTTTTGAGTATTAGCGTCTAACACAGCATCTCCTGATTCTGGTGAAATATAGTTCAAAATGAGTTCTCCAGCTAATTACAAGATGTGGTTTATCTAAATATCCCGTCTTACTTCAAGAGATCTTACCAAGCTAATGTTCACTTGTTCTATTAGCAGATCTTTGTACTTATTTCAAGTGGAAACACCTTGTTTTCATTATTGTTGAACTTGTTTTTGGAGCAGCATTTCTTACAGTGTACACACATGTCACATATAGCACATCGCAGTCACACAAAGAGACTCGCCTTCTTTTTGCCGGTCACATTCCACTCCTTCAGGATCTCCGTGGCCCTGCCTGAGAGGGAAAGCAAACAGAGATGATGACAGGTGACGCACCGGCGGCTTTGAAAGCGTCTCGGTATCTGAAAAAGCCCTGAGGTGTTGTTTAAATGCCGCTAAATAAACGGACAAAAGACGCGTGACGTGCGGCGGACCAACTCCTTGTTCTATATTTAAACCTGCACAACTGCAAGGCGTGCAGGTGACGCGCTGACTTCTGAATGCATGGCACGCATTTAGAGAAAAAGGAAAAGTAGTAGTGAAGGTAATGAAGGGCACAGGCAGCATGGCAGCTCCGACCTATATCCAGTTCATATCTAACTAACTGGATACAGTTCATGTGTATAGTTTCCTGAAGTACACAGATCCCAATATGCAGGTCCATTAAACCCAGAGACTCACAAGAGACTTTTTTGTTTAAAGGTCCCCTATCATCCTCTTCTTCATCAATATATCACAGGTCCAGATATATCCAGAGCCTGTCTCTGATTGGCTGAAACACCAAACCGATCATTGCAGCATTACCCATAATCCCCTCTGTTTCAGCCCTGTTTCCAAAGTGCTGATTCTCTGTCTGTTACTTTAGATGAAAATAAGGAGCCCCTCCCCACACCCCTCTGAGAGAGATTTGGTTACAAAGAACTCAATGGTGCTCTAGGAGGAGATTCAGGTGATAAGGGGGGGGGGGGGGTTACCTTGGTTGCTGATTGGCTAATGGTTACACAAGACAAAACATCGTTATGACATCATAAAGTGGCCAAAATCTGATCAGCTCATTTTCAGACAGGTTTTTATAGAAATGGATCAAAAAGAGAGAGAATCTTTGTTCCTGAAACTTTCAGAGTCTCTTTCCACAGAGGGGACACATGTTGATGAAGAAGAGACATGAAGAAGAGGGGACACATGTTGATGAAGAAGAGACATGAAGAAGAGGGGACACATGGTGATGAAGAAGAGACATGAAGAAGAGGGGACACATGTTGATGTAGAAGAGACATGAAGAAGAGGGGACACATGGTGATGAAGAAGAGACATGAAGAAGAGGGGACACATGTTGATGTAGAAGAGACATGAAGAAGAGGGGACACATGTTGATGTAGAAGAGACATGAAGAAGAGGGGACACATGTTGATGAAGAAGAGACATGAAGAAGAGGGGACACATGTTGATGAAGAAGAGACATGAAGAAGAGGGGACACATGTTGATGAAGAAGAGACATGAAGAAGAGGGGACACATGTTGATGTAGAAGAGACATGAAGAAGAGGGGACACATGTTGATGTAGAAGAGACATGAAGAAGAGGGGACACATGTTGATGTAGAAGAGACATGAAGAAGAGGGGACACATGTTGATGAAGAAGAGACATGAAGAAGAGGGGACACATGTTGATGTAGAAGAGACATGAAGAAGAGGGGACACATGTTGATGAAGAAGAGACATGAAGAAGAGGGGACACATGTTGATGAAGAAGAGACATGAAGAAGAGGGGACACATGTTGATGTAGAAGAGACATGAAGAAGAGGGGACACATGTTGATGTAGAAGAGACATGAAGAAGAGGGGACACATGTTGATGAAGAAGAGACATGAAGAAGAGGGGACACATGTTGATGAAGAAGAGACATGAAGAAGAGGGGACACATGTTGATGGAGAAGAGACATGAAGAAGAGGGGACACATGTTGATGAAGAAGAGACATGAAGAAGAGGGGACACATGTTGATGAAGAAGAGGGGACACATGTTGATGTAGAAGAGACATGAAGAAGAGGGGACACATGTTGATGTAGAAGAGACATGAAGAAGAGGGGACACATGTTGATGTAGAAGAGACATGAAGAAGAGGGGACACATGTTGATGTAGAAGAGACATGAAGAAGAGGGGACACATGTTGATGTAGAAGAGACATGAAGAAGAGGGGACACATGTTGATGTAGAAGAGACATGAAGAAGAGGGGACACATGTTGATGTAGAAGAGACATGAAGAAGAGGGGACACATGTTGATGAAGAAGAGACATGAAGAAGAGGGGACACATGTTGATGAAGAAGAGACATGAAGAAGAGGGGACACATGTTGATGGAGAAGAGACATGAAGAAGAGGGGACACATGTTGATGAAGAAGAGACATGAAGAAGAGGATTTTGCATAATAGGTGACCTTTAACCTTTTTAGTATATATTTGTGTTATCATTTCTGCCCAAATCTTTTAATATTAATTTCTCATATTATAATTGTACTTCCTGTTTATATTTACGCATATTTTTTATGTTGAACCTCCGCTCCAATAATACGTTTATAATAAAGTAGTACTCATAACTGTTCAACATATGCAACACTACTAGTTTCCAAAGAGCAATTATTGAACTAACTACAGTCATTATTAATAAGGCCAATAATGACTCGTTATCGATGCAACAGTGACGTCTGCATACCTTCAATGAAAGCTTGGACGGTTCTGTCGACACAGTTCTCAAAATGCTGCAACACCAGAACGATCTCATTGTTACTTTTGTTAGGGACGACCGCACGGACTGCGCTGATCTGTGAAGAAGAGGAAGAGGAAGAAGAGGAAGAAATATGAGAGGAATTAAACTGACATTTACATACAAAACATGTATATCAGTATGTAGTGTCTCTACTTTAAAGAGTCCTCTCCTGCTGATGTTCAGGTGTATATCAGTATGTAGTGTCTCTACTTTAAAGAGTCCTCTCCTGCTGATGTTCAGGTGTATATCAGTATGTAGTGTCTCTACTTTAAAGAGTCCTCTCCTGCTGATGTTCAGGTGTATATCAGTATGTAGTGTCTCTACTTTAAAGAGTCCTCTCCTGCTGATGTTCAGGTGTATATCAGTATGTAGTGTCTCTACTTTAAAGAGTCCTCTCCTGCTGATGTTCAGGTGTATATCAGTATGTAGTGTCTCTACTTTAAAGAGTCCTCTCCTGCTGATGTTCAGGTGTATATCAGTATGTAGTGTCTCTACTTTAAAGAGTCCTCTCCTGCTGATGTTCAGGTGTATATCAGTATGTAGTGTCTCTACTTTAAAGAGTCCTCTCCTGCTGATGTTCAGGTGTATATCAGTATGTAGTGTCTCTACTTTAAAGAGTCCTCTCCTGCTGATGTTCAGGTGTATATCAGTATGTAGTGTCTCTACTTTAAAGAGTCCTCTCCTGCTGATGTTCAGGTGTATATCAGTATGTAGTGTCTCTACTTTAAAGAGTCCTCTCCTGCTGATGTTCAGGTGTTATATCAGTATGTAGTGTCTCTACTTTAAAGAGTCCTCTCCTGCTGATGTTCAGGTGTATATCAGTATGTAGTGTCTCTACTTTAAAGAGTCCTCTCCTGCTGATGTTCAGGTGTATATCAGTATGTAGTGTCTCTACTTTAAAGAGTCCTCTCCTGCTGATGTTCAGGTGTATATCAGTATGTAGTGTCTCTACTTTAAAGAGTCCTCTCCTGCTGATGTTCAGGTGTATATCAGTATGTAGTGTCTCTACTTTAAAGAGTCCTCTCCTGCTGATGTTCAGGTGTATATCAGTATGTAGTGTCTCTACTTTAAAGAGTCCTCTCCTGCTGATGTTCAGGTGTATATCAGTATGTAGTGTCTCTACTTTAAAGAGTCCTCTCCTGCTGATGTTCAGGTGTATATCAGTATGTAGTGTCTCTACTTTAAAGAGTCCTCTCCTGCTGATGTTCAGGTGTATATCAGTATGTAGTGTCTCTACTTTAAAGAGTCCTCTCCTGCTGATGTTCAGGTGTATATCAGTATGTAGTGTCTCTACTTTAAAGAGTCCTCTCCTGCTGATGTTCAGGTGTATATCAGTATGTAGTGTCTCTACTTTAAAGAGTCCTCTCCTGCTGATGTTCAGGTGTATATCAGTATGTAGTGTCTCTACTTTAAAGAGTCCTCTCCCTGCTGATGTTCAGGTGTATATCAGTATGTAGTGTCTCTACTTTAAAGAGTCCTCTCCTGCTGATGTTCAGGTGTATATCAGTATGTAGTGTCTCTACTTTAAAGAGTCCTCTCCTGCTGATGTTCAGGTGTATATCAGTATGTAGTGTCTCTACTTTAAAGAGTCCTCTCCTGCTGATGTCAGGTGTATATCAGTATGTAGTGTCTCTACTTTAAAGAGTCCTCTCCTGCTGATGTTCAGGTGTATATCAGTATGTAGTGTCTCTACTTTAAAGAGTCCTCTCCTGCTGATGTTCAGGTGTATATCAGTATGTAGTGTCTCTACTTTAAAGAGTCCTCTCCTGCTGATGTTCAGGTGTATATCAGTATGTAGTGTCTCTACTTTAAAGAGTCCTCTCCTGCTGATGTTCAGGTGTATATCAGTATGTAGTGTCTCTACTTTAAAGAGTCCTCTCCTGATGATGTTCAGGTGTATATCAGTATGTAGTGTCTCTACTTTAAAGAGTCCTCTCCTGCTGATGTTCAGGTGTATATCAGTATGTAGTGTCTCTACTTTAAAGAGTCCTCTCCTGCTGATGTTCAGGTGTATATCAGTATGTAGTGTCTCTACTTTAAAGAGTCCTCTCCTGCTGATGTTCAGGTGTATATCAGTATGTAGTGTCTCTACTTTAAAGAGTCCTCTCCTGCTGATGTTCAGGTGTATATCAGTATGTAGTGTCTCTACTTTAAAGAGTCCTCTCCTGCTGATGTTCAGGTGTATATCAGTATGTAGTGTCTCTACTTTAAAGAGTCCTCTCCTGCTGATGTTCAGGTGTATATCAGTATGTAGTGTCTCTACTTTAAAGAGTCCTCTCCTGCTGATGTTCAGGTGTATATCAGTATGTAGTGTCTCTACTTTAAAGAGTCCTCTCCTGCTGATGTTCAGGTGTATATCAGTATGTAGTGTCTCTACTTTAAAGAGTCCTCTCCTGCTGATGTTCAGGTGTATATCAGTATGTAGTGTCTCTACTTTAAAGAGTCCTCTCCTGCTGATGTTCAGGTGTATATCAGTATGTAGTGTCTCTACTTTAAAGAGTCCTCTCCTGCTGATGTTCAGGTGTATATCAGTATGTAGTGTCTCTACTTTAAAGAGTCCTCTCCTGCTGATGTTCAGGTGTATATCAGTATGTAGTGTCTCTACTTTAAAGAGTCCTCTCCTGCTGATGTTCAGGTGTATATCAGTATGTAGTGTCTCTACTTTAAAGAGTCCTCTCCTGCTGATGTTCAGGTGTATATCAGTATGTAGTGTCTCTACTTTAAAGAGTCCTCTCCTGCTGATGTTCAGGTGTATATCAGTATGTAGTGTCTCTACTTTAAAGAGTCCTCTCCTGCTGATGTTCAGGTGTATATCAGTATGTAGTGTCTCTACTTTAAAGAGTCCTCTCCTGATGATGTTCAGGTGTATATCAGTATGTAGTGTCTCTACTTTAAAGAGTCCTCTCCTGCTGATGTTCAGGTGTATATCAGTATGTAGTGTCTCTACTTTAAAGAGTCCTCTCCTGCTGATGTTCAGGTGTATATCAGTATGTAGTGTCTCTACTTTAAAGAGTCCTCTCCTGGCGTCTCACCTTCTCCTTCATCCTGTCAGTCGTTCCTCCCTGGGACATGGCCATTCTGGAGCGAGTGTCGAACACCACCCCCGACGTATCTAACAAAACAACAATCAAAATAAACGTCACGAATCATATTTGCAAACCTCTGTGGAGAATCATTTGCAAACCAAAGCGACTCCCAGAGGTTTCACGTTACGGTGGCAGACGTGTTCACGGGAAGTAAAGAGCTGACACTTTTCTCAAAGACTTCTCAATTTGTTTTATACCCTTCTTGTATTTTAGCTTTCTTTTGAACCCAAATGATATTTGAACGCGCGTCCTTCGTCTTCAGTTTGGCAGTTCTCTGACGTTTGAATGTCAACGTGCTTTGCCTCACCGTTACGCTTCACTTGTATTTAAAACTCAAAGAGGAAACACTGACGTCTGCATCTCTGCACAGACGGTGGAAGGACGTACGGCTTAACAACTCAAGTACAGACACTCCAGAAAGCAGCAAGAAAGTCACATCTGATTTAATTCACTAATAACCTACGAAGGATACCAAAAGCTAAAATATTCTGAATGAAGCCAGTGTGTGTGTAAATACTATATTTGCATTTCTGTCATAGCAGTGAGTAAAGTGAACACATACCCTTCTGGCTGTTTTTCTTGGCCATGTTGTCACACCGTCGTCTCCAGGAAATTGTTTGTGCACTTCCTCTCAGATTTGAATAACACCTTGATGTCTTGGTGTTTAAATGAGCTCTCCAGCAGCGCTCACTGTCAGTGGTTCTGTCGATGCCAACGAGCCTCAGACTTCAGATCACCTCAGTCTCCTCTCCTGATCCAAATCTGTGGGGGAAAATACATTCAATATGAACGTCAGAAAGAAACCAATGAGAGGAGCCGTCGCCACGCCGCAGAAACACACAGATCTCCACGTCTGAAGATATGAATGCATGTGAAATGTATATAAGAAGTGGAATACAAGATAAGATAAGATATTCGAGCGGTGCAGTGATGACGTGTTTTTGTAGTTCGACCCTGAAGGAAGCTGCTGGTTCCCTCGTCTCAGAGTCAACGGGATCTCTCCAGAGGATTTTGGAATATTGTAAAAAATAAGGTCTGTGGAAAACGAACCCGTTTGATAAATGCACGTTTTGTTCAGCCGGATAATCTCCACGTGTCTACCCTACTTTTAAAATGTTCAAATCATAAATCTAATCTCCAGAAGCAAAATGCTAACGTGATGCTATAAAGGAACTACAGCCGAGTCCAGCAGCACGACTTCAACGTCACGCCAACTTCAGATCCATATTCAAACATCCATCCATCTTCTCCCGCTTCTCCGTGGTCGGGTCGTGGAGGTATCAGTTCCAGCAGAGAGCCCCAAACGTTCCTTTCCCCTCATCAACCAGCTCTGACTGGGGGGTCCCAAGGCGCTCCCAGGCCAGCCAAGAGATATAATCCCTCCACCTGGTCCTAGGTCTACCCCTCGGTCTCCTCCCAGCTGGACGTGCCTGGAACACCTCCCTATGGAGGCGCCCAGGTGGCATCCTTACTAGGTGCCCGAACCACCTCACCTGGCTCCTTTCTACGCGAAGGAGGAGCGGTTCAACTCCGAGTCCCTCACGGATGACTGAACTTCTCCCCTTATCCCTAAGGGAGACGCCAGACACCCTGCGGAGGAAACCCATCTCGGCCGCTTGTATCTGCGATCTCGTTCTTTCAAACATACAGATTCTAAATGGTACGAGTTGAAGTGTTTGTTTGAACAGTTTGCAGGAGGCAGGAACTTGCTTTCAAGCAGAACAGGGCTAACTAACTTAGAGGAGTGTTCACGTGTTCGGCGTAATGACGTACAACGGCCTCCACGACTTCTGTAGTCCTATTCAGCCACTTGGTAACAACCATCGTTTTTCAGACACGTCAACTCTTCAGAAATCACCAGTGTGGTCACTGCTGATGGATTTAATGTTGGAGAACAAAACGTGATCCGTGTGTCTCAACCACAGACCTTATTTCAGATATGTTCCAACACCCTATGGAGAGATCCCATTGGCTCTGAGACCAGGGAACAGGAAGTGGAGAAATGCTGACTCACTTCCGGGTTTTAGGACTCATTCCTGCACCTCTCTAAAAGTACTTTATTGATCCCAATTTGGGAAATATTAGCGTTGCAGCAGCTTAAAAAGACAAGTTAAAACTAATGAAAAGACTAGAAAATAAACATTCTAAAATTCAAGCATCTCAATAGAAATAAAATAGCATTAATAAAAAAGTAGAAAATATACGTGTTGAATGACAAACGTACAGTACGCTGAATATGAAGGAGCAGAAGCTTCTTGTTTTTGTCAGAGAGCATTCTCTAGAAAAACCTGCAGTTAATAAAGTTCCTTGGCACAAACACTGCATTACTGTGGAGGGGGAAAGCTAGCAGGGCTGCAGAGAGACACGTCTTTAAAGAGTTCCTCTTCTCTCTGCAAATTATTCTCAACATGCAGCACAGTCTCTGAGACACAGGATTTAGGCCTTATTTAGAGGACTCTTTAAAGTACAGACACTACATACTGATATACACCTGAACATCAGCAGGAGAGTACTCTTTAAAGTAGAGACACTACATACTGATATACACCTGAACATCAGCAGGAGAGGACTCTTTAAAGTAGAGACACTACATACTGATATACACCTGAACATCAGCAGGAGAGGACTCTTTAAAGTAGAGACACTACATACTGATACACACCTGAACATCAGCAGGAGAGGACTCTTTAAAGTAGAGACACTACATACTGATATACACATGAACATCAGCAGGAGAGGACTCTTTAAAGTAGAGACACTACATACTGATATACACCTGAACATCAGCAGGAGAGGACTCTTTAAAGTAGAGACACTACATACTGATATACACCTGAACATCAGCAGGAGAGGACTCTTTAAAGTAGAGACACTACATACTGATATACACCTGAACATCAGCAGGAGAGGACTCTTTAAAGTAGAGACAACTACATACTGATATACACCTGAACATCATCAGGAGAGGACTCTTTAAAGTAGAGACACTACATACTGATATACACCTGAACATCAGCAGGAGAGGACTCTTAAAGTAGAGACACTACATACTGATATACACCTGAACATCAGCAGGAGAGGACTCTTTAAAGTAGAGACACTACATACTGATATACACCTGAACATCAGCAGGAGAGGGACTCTTTAAAGTAGAGACACTACATACTGATATACACCTGAACATCAGCAGGAGAGGACTCTTTAAAGTAGAGACACTACATACTGATATACACCTGAACATCAGCAGGAGAGGACTCTTTAAAGTAGAGACACTACATACTGATATACACCTGAACATCAGCAGGAGAGGACTCTTTAAAGTAGAGACACTACATACTGATATACACCTGAACATCAGCAGGAGAGGACTCTTTAAAGTAGAGACACTACATACTGATATACACCTGAACATCAGCAGGAGAGGACTCTTTAAAGTAGAGACACTACATACTGATATACACCTGAACATCAGCAGGAGAGGACTCTTTAAAGTAGAGACACTACATACTGATATACACCTGAACATCAGCAGGAGAGGACTCTTTAAAGTAGAGACACTACATACTGATATACACCTGAACATCAGCAGGAGAGGACTCTTTAAAGTAGAGACACTACATACTGATATACACCTGAACATCAGCAGGAGAGGACTCTTTAAAAAGAACGATCAACAATTACCTCAAATATGTTGGATTTCTTTTCAGTTTTTTGTCTGTTTTGAATGTTTCACATCTTGTATTTGTGTAACTGAAACTGCTCATATGAAACAGAGAAACGGGGCGTTACATTAATAAGATAAAGAACATTTTTTTTAAACGTATGTTTCATCTCAGACTGTTCTCTTAAATTAAAAAAATTAAAATGTAAAAGTAGCTAGTAACTGAGCATTACATAAGTATAGTGGAATAAACTATTAAATTAAATTAAAGTACATTGTTTTCGTCTAAAATGTAGTGGAATAGATTTATAATTAATAATATAATAACTATTCATATCTTAAACTTCACTGTCACAACTGCCTTTTTCTATTTGAGCTTTTTTTTATTGTTATTTCATTCTTTCGATTTTTATCAAATGAGTTAAATGTCATTTAAAAAAGTTTGTCTATGCATTTTATCTGAATATTTTTACCATTTATACGTATTTTAAACTCATAAGCAATGCCTTGTTAACATGCTGTGACACAATAAGCCTGTGACACAAGATGTTCATCGGCATAACTACACTGTAGCTATGTTTGTATGACTAAATAAAGAACCTTGAACCTTGAACCTGCTGTGACAGAGAAACCCAGCATCAATAAAGCACATTTAATCAAATGTACAGCAGCGTGAAATGGAAATAGTCCATTAAAATCATCTTAAATTACACACTATAACATTTGCATTTGACCGGTTGTTCTGGTAAGAGAGTAGACCTACCCCGTCGGAGTGTGTGTGTCAGAGTGTGAGAGTTTAGGAACGTCCCACGGTCTTTAAACCTCCCAGCAGCGCTCTGGATTCATGAGCCAGCTGTTTCCAGAGTCTAAGTTTCCTTTTCTGTCCCGATTTCGGCAGAAAGGGAAACTTAGAGAGGCTGTTCAAACACACACCCTGCAGATTAGGACGTGCCTCACACACACACCACACCTCTGCAGACGTCAGACTGCACGCACACACAACTTCACAACTAGGATGCATTGTGTTTATCAAGAGGGAAGGTGCTCCAGAGCTCAAGAGAGCAGCTGCACAGGCGATGAGAAAAAGTGCTCAGTCAGCAAATAAGAGAAAAACTGGAGACTTAAATAAGTAAATGATAACTGAAGGTCTTTGAGAGGGGGCTTCTGTCACTGCCTCACACACATACAATATCAAATAAGGATGTTTATAAATAGCTCACATGTGAGATTTGTTTCAACACTGCTGCACAAATGGTTTCAGTATCGGTACAACATGAAAAATCACACTTGGAGTCAGACAGGCTTGTTGGCATTCAAGAAGTAAGGACTCTTTAAAGTAGAGATGCTACATACTGATATACACCTGAACATCAGCAGGAGAGGACTCTTTAAAGTAGAGACGCTACCTACTGATATACACCTGAACATCAGCAGGAGAGGACTCTTTAAAGTAGAGACACTACATACTGATATACACCTGAACATCAGCAGGAGAGGACTCTTTAAAGTAGAGACGCTACCTACTGATATACACCTGAACATCAGCAGGAGAGGACTCTTTAAAGTAGAGACACTACATACTGATATACACCTGAACATCAGCAGGAGAGGACTCTTTAAAGTAGAGACACTACATACTGATATACACCTGAACATCAGCAGGAGAGGACTCTTTAAAGTAGAGACACTACATACTGATATACACCTGAACATCAACAGGAGAGGACTCTTTAAAGTAGAAACACTACATACTGATATACACCTGAACATCATCAGGAGAGGACTCTTTAAAGTAGAGACACTACATACACCTGAACATCAACAGGAGAGGACTCTTTAAAGTAGAGACACTACATACTGATATACACCTGAACATCAGCAGGAGAGGACTCTTTAAAGTAAAGACACTACATACTGATATACACCTGAACATCAGCAGGAGAGGACTCTTTAAAGTAGAGACACTACATACTGATATACACCTGAACATCAGCAGGAGAGGACTCTTTAAAGTAGAGACACCACATACTGATATACACCTGAACATCAGCAGGAGAGGACTCTTTAAAGTAGAGACACTACATACTGATATACACCTGAACATCAGCAGGAGAGGACTCTTTAAAGTAGAGACACTTCATACTGATATACACCTGAACATCAGCAGGAGAGGACTCTTTAAAGTAGAGACACTACATACTGATATACACCTGAACATCAGCAGGAGAGGACTCTTTAAAGTAGAGACACTACATACTGATATACACCTGAACATCAGCAGGAGAGGACTCTTTAAAGTAGAGACACTACATACTGATATACACCTGAACATCAGCAGCAGAGGACTCTTTAAAGTAGAGACACTACATACTGATATACACCTGAACATCAGCAGCAGAGGACTCTTTAAAGTAGAGACACTACATACTGATATACACCTGAACATCAGCAGGAGAGGACTCTTTAAAGTAGAGACACTACATACTGATATACACCTGAACATCAGCAGGAGAGGACTCTTTAAAGTAGAGACATTTAAAATAAAGCTGTATATAAAAGCCTTTAATTAAGGTTTATTTAAACACCCTAAAACAGAATAGACTTAACACACCGCGCAGGTCTGGAACTCCCTGATAAGATATCTGAAGCTAGAGATTAGATGACAGGAGTTTGGTGTTGGTAACATTTCCCCTGTTGAAACATCCTGCTTAAAGTCAGGATTTAAAAAAATTGGAAGAATGTGTGGATTGAAGGTCTTATAAACTGTTTAGAAATATGTTTCAATCAGTACAACGGTTTTTAGATCTCATGAAAAATCTAATTTATATCCATCGTCAAGGTCTAGATTTTCTCCAAACAATAAGATAATAACATTCGTGGTAATTAGAGACAGTGGATCAGTGGGGTGGTGCGTTGATATTTTGGTCAGGGGAGCACTGGTTCAATCCCAACTGCAGTCTCTGCGTAAAAGCATCTAACAAGTGACAGTAATGTAATCTCTTAAACTGCCTTTTTAAATTAGGAAAAACGTTGTTGTTAATTAAATGTCTTCAAATGAGCAGAACTCAAAAAACCTGAGACAGAAAAGTCTGTTTGCACTCGAGAAGTAAATAAAGGTAGATATCTGTTCTGCCACAGCGTCACACGGACGATATGAAACGTGGAAGTTTACTTTGAGTTTGATCAGAAATAGTTTTCACAGCTTCTTCTCCCGTGTGTTCAGTTTCAGTTTATTCAGAAACTCTCAGATGAAGTCTGGTGTGTGCCTGATAAGATATCTGCAGCTGGAGATCAGGGGTCAACACCGAGCAGAGTTTAAATAAATATTTACTGACTGATTGTAGAGAGTTTAAAACGTGCATGCATTACCTGCACAAATATAACATGACTTTATTCCATAGGTTAGATTCAATAAATACCCACTATGTGTTCATGTTATCCAATGTGAGTTAATAACGTGTAATCCCTTGTGTTGCATGACTGTGTGTAATGATAACATCTGATCACTTTCATCTGAATTTAACATTTAAGCCTCATTTCACACGAGTTGGCTAGAAATCCAGAGGCTGTGTTAGTAGTTTCTAATGTTTTTAGAAAGCTGGTTCTTACCTTTTTATACCTGAAATGTGTAATTATTAGTTAAGGTTTTTAATACGAGTGCCCACTTTTTGTTACCGTTTTATTTTATTTTAATACTGTCTTTATAATATATATATATATGGAGGGATGAAACCCTCTTTAATGGTCACACATGCAGAGCACACAGCGCACACAGCGCACACAGTGAAATGTGTTCTCTGCTTTTAACCCATCCTAGCACCGGGAGTCTAGCACCGGGAGTCTAGCACCGGGAGTCTAGCACCGGGAGTCTAGCACCGGGAGTCTAGGACCGGGAGTCTAGTACCGGGAGTCTAGCACCGGGAGTCTAGCACCGGGAGTCTAGGACCGGGAGACTAGCACCGGGAGTCTAGCACCGGGAGTCTAGGACCGGGAGTCTAGGACCGGGAGTCTAGTACCGGGAGTCTAGCACCGGGAGTCTAGCACCGGGAGTCTAGTACCGGGAGTCTAGCACCGGGAGTCTAGCACCAGGAGTCTAGCACCAGGAGTCTAGGACCAGGAGACTAGCACCGGGAGTCTAGCACCGGGAGTCTAGTACCGGGAGTCTAGTACCGGGAGTCTAGCACCGGGAGTCTAGCACCGGGAGTCTAGCACCAGGAGTCTAGCACCAGGAGTCTAGGACCAGGAGTCTAGTACCAGGAGTCTAGCACCAGGAGTCTAGCTCCAGGAGTCTAGTACCGGGAGTCTAGCACCAGGAGTCTAGGACCAGGAGTCTAGGACCAGGAGTCTAGGACCAGGAGTCTAGCACCAGGAGTCTAGCACCAGGAGTCTAGGACCAGGAGTCTAGCTCCAGGAGTCTAGTACCGGGAGTCTAGCACCGGGAGTCTAGCACCGGGAGTCTAGCACCAGGAGTCTAGTACCGGGAGTCTAGCACCAGGAGTCTAGTACCGGGAGTCTAGCACCGGGAGTCTAGCACCAGGAGTCTAGTACCGGGAGTCTAGCACCAGGAGTCTAGCTCCAGGAGTCTAGCACCAGGAGCAGTGGGCAGCTATTGCACAGCGCCCGGGGAGCAATGGGAGTGGGGGGGAAGGGGGTTGTCCGGTGCCTTGCTCAAGGGCACCACAGCAGGGCAGGAGGTGAACTGGGACCTCTCCAAGTAGCAGTCCACACTCCATTTTTAGGTCTGGTCGGGGACTTGAACCGGCGACCCGACGGCACACAGTCCAAGCCCCTACTGACTGTCTTTTATACCGTTATTTAGTGTCTTTAAACTTCTTTTGCACACTGTTTTTATACTGTCTTTTATTTTTACTGTTTTCATGCTATTTTTATACTGTTTTGAACAATTTTCATACTGTGTTCATTGTGTTTTTTTTACTCTCTTTCCTACTGTGTTGTTGTTTGTTTATACTGTCTTTTATACTTCCTTTATATCATTTTTATACAGTATTTTGCACAGTTTTTCTTACAGTCTAATATCCTGTTTTGTTGTGAATCCATCAATAATGCCTCTTCACTAACATTACGTAAATCTCAGTTTTCTTCTAATAAATACATTCTGGTTCTGATTTGTCTGCAGGAGTCCGCAGGTTACCATTAGCTTGCTAGCATTACCTAACACTAAATGATTAGCTTTGTTCTGCTTGTCCCCTACGTGAAACAGCGCATTCATTAACCATCAAATCCTCAGAAACACAAATGACTAAATGCATCATGAAGTAAAAACGCCTTTTTCCCGGAGGCACCAATAACGCATCCTGAGTTAGCATCTCTGGTTAGCATTCAGCTAGCTCTCATTATCAACTGATGTGAAGCTAGCCACCGTTAGGCTAAATAACGCACCATTAAAGCAGTAATAATGAGGTATAAGATGGTGTGTTAGTATATATAGATTATTAGATGTACCTACGTGTTGTTGAGAGGTGAACGGAGCAGTAGGTCCAGTTTCCTCCGGGTCTGAAGCCGATCTGCGGCTCTGCTTCTCAGGGAAATATTTTCCTCCTCCGGGTTGCCAGGTAGAATTCAAAAGATCCTCCCTTTATTTAAACAGGCAGTTTCTAGTCGCTTCTAAAAAGGCTTCATGCCAAAGTGTGTCGTTTATAAAGTGATGCAATCTTTGTTCAGCTTAACCAATGTGTGATTAACAAATGTATTCAGTGTGATAAGGATCATGACGTTAGTTCCGTTACTTGTTTTTTAAAGCCACCATTTCTTCTTCTCACATGAGGTTTTCACTTTGCAATTAACCAAGTGTTCTTCTTTTTGAAAAACCACTTCTGCATTCATAGCTTTTACAAGTATTTGTGTGGTATCTTTACACAAATAATATGGC